TCCTTTTGAGTGAATTTGTTGGGGGCCTCTCGGGCGGGAGCTTCCTTTTGAGTGAGCTGCTTGGTGGCCTCTCAGGCGGGAGCAAAGAGAAGGGGGAGCACAGAGGAGCGGGAGGAGGAAAGAGGAGAGAGAGAGAGAGAGAGAGAGAGAGAGGAAGAGGAAGAGAGAGGAAAGAGAGGGAGTAAGACGTATGCAACCCTCAGAGGTCCGAAAGCCCGCCATACCCATCCAGTCTGGAGCTCTCCTGGCCGTCGGCCTCCCAACACAAAAACCTGAGACCCCCAGCACCGCGAAAAGACTAAGGAATGCGCCCGCAGAAACCATTCAACAAAAACACATGCATTTTAACAGGGGTGGATAGGCCAGGACCCATATATACACACACATCTATGTATGTATGTGTATACATATACACATACATACATACTGACATGTTCGCGTGCTTTTTATAGATATATGCATGCACGAACGAACGTTAAGCTGTACTGAGGCTAAGAATGCGCTGTGGAGAATATGTCGAATAACCGCCTCCGAATCGAATCTGTGTGCGGACGCTGCGATCATCCCACGGGCGCGAGCAAGACTGCGCCCGCAAAGCGTCCGGTGCCTCACCGTCGGACAGCAATACCAGTACGAATTGGCGCAAGTGTTTGAAAGTAAGAACGCAAACTGACGAATGGGCTGCTTCTCGCGAGTCGAGACCACACTGTGCAATACGAAACACAATATAAACACGACTTCCTACAGTAGCATGGGGCGCTTAGCAAAGCATCAAGTCGTGGCACGCGCTTCGCATATATTTCCATGGGGCTGGCGCAGGCGCTTGCCATGGATCTTGTCAATGCATCATTTCCAGATCTGCTTCGAATGAAACATGTCAGAAAACACTTCAGTATTGCAACGATCAGGGGTAAGAGCGTCTGCGAGCAATCTTACAACATTTGCAGTGCCGAGCCACATACACATACACGAAACGCACAGCTCAAACAACACAACATCAAGGGCGCCTTCTTCAGACTTGCGAGGACGAATAATCGGACCAACGCGGGATTTTAGACCAATGGAGACACTATGTGTCATCTTTCGCTCGACCTGTGGTGGTCATCAGTAACAACACACACACACACACACACTGGTCAGCGAATTCTCAAGTTCGCTGCGATCGGTCCGTGGGAGTACAAGCTGTCTGAACGTTTGCAAGAAGCGGTCTGCGATCAAATCTGAACATTGAAATCGGGGGCAGCGGGGGCGGGTGGTAGCTACGCTTTTGGGGGGGTTCTTTCTCTCTATACATCTGCTGATTGGTGGACGCAATTTCCACCGAAAAACAAGCAAAGACATTCACACGTCAGCTGATATCGCCATGCTGGCGACCCTCCTCCCTCTCCCCTGCGGTGTGCACGAACGCGCGTCCTGGATGCTGACTGGAACCAAGATCCGTGTGCAGCCCATTGTTGAGTGCAACGCCTTTCGAATCGCTGCCGATCTTGTCAAACATGTCTCGCTGGCAATGGGCTTCAGTTTTCATCGGCGAGCCTGGGGGGAAGTGAGAGAGGGCCGTCCTTCTCAGAAGGCGCGAGGGCTTCTGAGAAGTCCCGCCGCCTCCTGAGAAGGTCTGCCACCTCTCACGCCCTCCCCTGGGCCCGCCGCCGGCTTCGGAATCAATGCCCGGATGGTCAAACGTGGCCCCACTGGCAGTGGGCGTCGATCCACGAGGAAATGCAAGCAGCCATCTCGAATGTTCACTCCCGCTCGAGGCAACATGCTCCAGCGTAGGCGCAGGCAGCTCGAGACGTCTGCGGAGTCCAGGGCTGGCTGCGCTCCCGACCCACATGACCAAGCATCTATTCTGGACGTGGGCTAGAGCCAAGCACTACCTCCCAGCAGCACAGGGCCGAACGAGGGCCCGAAAAAGACGAACGAGAAAGGGCCAGAGGAAAGACACAACGGCAGAGGGAAAGCGACCGAGCGAAGCACCGAGGCCCGAAACCCGACTGAGCATCACTTTCACGACTCTTGTGGGAGAAGGCTCTCTGCGCTGGGACTGGCCCAGGCCGCAGCTTCTAAAATCCATCCGGTTCTGCTTCCCCGCCCAGGGGGAGGTCCTGGTTTCCTCCGAAGCAAGCAAGCCTACATCGCTTCTGACCGCGCCCGCTTCCAAACAATAGCCAAACAATACCCAGCCAGCCGTGGTGTGGCCCGCAACGGTCAGGCTGCTCGACGAGGGGATTCGACCTGGAAGCGGGAGCGGGGTAGGTCTTTCACCCTCGGGTTTCCTCTCGCGCCCCGAAGAGCTCATGGGGTGCGCGTGAGCCCCAACGCACTTAAAGGCTGCCTTTGCCGCATGGTATGCTCTGTCAGAAAAGTATTCTGCACACCAAACATGAAGCGCAGACGCCATGCAAGGCAATCTGGCAAACGCTTGCGCACGCGAACCTTTCTGGGCAACTTGAGATCCCCCCCTCCGTCTTTCCTGACCCCCTCGAGTCTCCGCTTCGCAGTTGGATGCCATCAGAAGATCGCTCAGGACCGGCTCCATGGCCATCTTCGCGCCCCATCCGCCACTGCGCACCTGCGGCGGTCCAGCGTGGGGGTCTCGACATACTAACGAGGCGAGGTCTCGATTCCAGACCTGTGTGACGCGCAGCGCCCAGCACGTATAGCACCTTCGCGGCGCAAAGAAAGGCCCTCGGGAAATCGCGTCAATGACCGAGTAAACCGCCTGATTATCATTGTCGACTCGATTTAAACTGCAAGCGACAAGCCGCACTGATGACCTCGCCGTTTTCAGAAGCGCGATTGACGGAGGAGGGCACGAGCTCTCATGCCGGTGCGACCAGTCGCCACACGGCGCGGCGCGGGCAGAACTAGAGAACACCGCGCAGCACCGCACGGCACCACACCAGGCAACCTCGATGGGTGACGACCATGGCACCTGGTGTCTGACGCGCACCCCCGAATTACGCCTTTCTCGTGCTGCCCTACACTCGGCTGCCAGCCTCACCTACCCTGTAGACGCTCGATCCACGCGCACTGCCACTATGACAGCAAATGGCGCGATTGTGGGCGCCACGGCGGCAGAAAACGACTCACGCCCTCTCTCGACACCTGGCGGGTTCTGGAAAACGTGAACCCAAAACCTTGCCCGCTTCCGCCCGCTTCCGCCTGCGGAGGCGGTTACTTCCGCGGGCGTCCGCCGCCCTTCTCCTGCCTTCCTCCGAGGAAGAGATTGCAACTCCTTCGATCCTCGAAGGCGAGGGCCCCTCTGGAGCGCGCCACCTGGCGCTGGGCGCCATCGTCAGCAGGACCGTTCCACTCCCGTGGGGGCTGCCCGGGTCACGTGACCTCAAGCTGCGCACCACGCGAGGCGCGAGACTCGCGCTCTCGCCGCCCTGCGGAGAAGAACCGCGCCTCTGGCTCGGACCGCGAAGCATAGCTATCTTCGCGCCCCCGCGTTAGAAGAAGAAGAAGAATCAGACTGAGAAGAAAACGAAAAAGAAGAAGAAGACAAAGGAGAAAGAGCATAAGCATAAACTTTCGGAGGTCCGTGGGTTTCTTGGATCGGCGCTGGACCCCCCTCTCCGGAGCGAGGAACGCGCCCAAGGGCGGCGCCGGAGACGTCGTCGCGCCGGGGGCGAGGAGGGCCGGCCCCGACCCGAGAAGCCCGAGCGGCGGTTCGAAAGCTCGTACCTCGGGGTGCTTTTGCAGGCTCCGACCTTCGCCGCCCACCCGTCCGACCACACGCACGCCTCCTCGTGGCAGCTCCGCGCTGCTCCCGCCGCAGCCCGCACTGCGCCCCACGTTCTTCCGATCACTGTGGCTGGCAAGCGTACAGTGAGCACATAATGATGAGACAGCGTGCTGTAAGAAATCTTGGGGCACATCTTGGGGTACATTCTTTGCTGACCTTTGAGGGTCCCAGAGTGTCACTGAGCTTCTGAAAGTCCCTGGTGCCCTCAGGCGATATGGCATTTCCGTGGGGCACCTGCTGACAAAGCAGCTTCTTATTTGATGTGCCTCCTGTCCTGCCGCGAGCTACGACATTATGCCAATTCAATCCTGCAACGACTGTGACGCGCATCATGCGGACCTGGAGCCAGGATGTCTGAACACACTGAACATGAGCTCGCCATCTCTTTTTCCTACTTGCCTGCCGAACCGTCTTCCTTGCCGTGGTCGCTAGCTGGAGGCTCTCCCTACCCAGACATATGGCGGCAAGTGTTTTCGAGACATGGGCCCCGAGACCTGTCGACCCCTTCCACGAGGCCGGCGTTCCTTCCTGAGATGTTTCGTTCGATGTTGCTGGAGTCTGAAACCAGCCTCCAGATATCCCAAGCGGCGAAATCAGCCGCCTCAATTCAGGGAGGTCCAGGTGGGCCCACCACCCGATCTGTCCCGAGATGCTCCGAAGGAGCCGCCAGACACCCCCAAGATAAGATGGCCTTCCCTAAGGCGCCAAGACAACCACAGATACCCCCCAGATGGCATCGGAGGAACACCGAGAAGCCCCAAACGAGGCCCAGCATGCCCGACAAGGAGTCCCCGCAGGGGCTCCGAGGGGTCTCGGAAAGCCTTCCTTTGGCTTCAGGACGGGCCCCGGACCGGCCCCGAGGGGGTCGAGGTGGCCCGGGAGTGCCCGCAGAAGCCCCAGGGATCACCCCAGAGAGGTCCATGAGGGCACCCAAGGAGGGCCCGAAGAGGTTTCGGGATAGAGCCCAAGATGCGACGACGAGGCCGCGAGACACCGCCCAGATTGCCCCCAAGGCCCTCGGAGAGAGCCCCACGGATCCCCGTGATGGCCTCAGAGGGCCCTGGAGGCACCGACAGAAACGAGGATCACATGCCAATGCGCCCGCGGGGCTGGCCTGTGAAACCGGCGGTTCTGCGCTTTGCCACACAGTGGCTCCAGAAAGTGCAGCGATGACAAACCTGTGAGGCCCGTTGGTCCGAACTCGAACCTCGCCACCCGTGCCGACCGGCCAAGAAACCCTGGACCCCCAGAAGATGCCAATCCCTACGGAGGGGCAACTTTTGTCTGCCAGCTCCCGCTCGCCAACTTCCGCTGGCCTTCCGACGAGACAGAGGTGCCAACGCCAATCGCTAAAACGTGCAAGCCTGCATTCGAATCGCAACTCTCTCTGAAGTTGTAGTCGTAACGATCCTAGCAGCAATGCGGGGTGTTGCAACTGCAAGGTCGCAGGACGTTGTACCACTGGAAAGGATAAGCGCCGATCTTTAGGTTTGCAGGGGGCGCCAACCGCTGCAGACACGCATCACAAACGCACATCCACGACGATACCCGTTCGAAGCATCCCGTCCTGGTAAGGTACATGGAGCCTCGAGGAACAAACAACACAAAAAGGGCTGTCCAGAGCGGGCCAAGGCCGAAGCACCCGACTGACTTTGGCCTGCAGCTCGTCCACGTAGAACATCGCGTTGCGCCGCGTCATGTCGTCCCCATCCGACTGCTCCGTCAGCACGAACCTGGCTCTGCCCCGCGCGCCCCGTTCCGAAACATGCCCAAGCCATCACACGGAACACTGTGCGCCCGCGAGGCCAATGCGAGCGAGACGGAAAAACCAGCTGGCGCGATGGAAGATGGACGCCAAAATCTCGGGATCAGCGCAACACCGTGCGACACCAAACTTGGGAATGAAGAAGTTGCTTCGGCTCTGTTGAGCCTTTATGGTTTCTAGAATCCTACAGGGCAAACTTTGAGGCCAGCGCCCCTTTACGTAGGTTGTTTCGGCTGTCCTCTTCAAAATCTGACCATTGTGTCAATATTAGATCGTCAACGCAGGCGGTACAACTACTTCTGCTGCTGATCCCTGCGACTCTCAAGCTCGCTTCCAGAATATCATTGATCTCCCATGGACGCCGTCGCCGTCACTGCGGCCTATACGGTCTACTTCGGATATGGTGAGCACACCAATGCTGACCCTTTATCAAACGTGCATGCTAAAATGATGCTGTTCCTCCACAAACAGCTTCCTCTGTCAGACTTCGGTGCCGACACTTAAACCCTGAACAGCCAAGGAAGGCCACCGATCAACCCAAATCTTAGCTCCTTGACCTCAATCCAAGCCGCGGAAA